TCATGAATCCCTCTCTCCTGTCACTCACAAATGACACCAGGACCACACTACAGCAGAAGTCGCTCTCTCCTCCCTCACATGTTCCTTTCTGATACAAGGCAAAGATTCCCCTCGACCTCATATTCAGCTAGTAGCTTAAGCCTGACCAAAGACAAGTTCAGAATCATGTAAGTTAGTAACAGGTATTCACCAAGACAATATAAAAACATGCACAAACCCCCTCATTTTCCATATATGTATCAAAACACACGAGTAAGAAACATGGAACAAAAAAAGATTATACAGAGCATGCTCGCCTGCCAACTTTCCTCAGTTCCTTTTAAAACTGTTGTCAATAACGTTTGTTTCCAGTATTTTGTTTAAATTTCATAAAATACACTACAGTAATTTTAGATTAGACAACTGATTTCTTCAGGATAAACTTATTTATACCATTTCAATAAGGCTTATAATTTGGCATTTCTCAAATTCAATACCACCATAATTCCTAACATAAAGATGCGCGGTATGTTGGAAAAGACAACATCTCTACAAATTACTTATGGATGTGCTTGTACGGTACTCAGGACAATGGGAAGTAACCTATGTCAAGGGAAACTAAAAGCACTGATAATACAAATACTTTATGATTCTGGAGAATTTTCAGTCGGAAAAAAAAGTAATAAGAGACCTGATATGAGGACAAAGAAGATTTTTACAATGTAAAACTATGATTATGTCAGGGAGCTGACATAAATTAAAAGAAGTCAAATAGAATTGGTGTTTTTTTTAAATTAATAAACAGATATTGTAATAAGACATGCTAATACTTGTAAGGAAAGTGTACATCTGTTAATAATGACAGAACAGAAAAGTTTAAAATCTGTTTTTCTGGCAATGAGAAACCAGGTATTAATTCAAAGACGGGTAAGTATTTTAATCTAGTGGAGTTGACAAGTTTAATGTTTGTCTGATGAGCACCCAAGACTTGAAAAATTATACTCACTTCTCAGAAAACTAAATCTACTAGTCATGAGTATATATGAAAAGTAGGGGTAGTGAAGGCTTTTAGTGATGCTCAAGGACAACACAATGGCTAAGAACCCCACAATTCTGTTACTGGGGAGGGCATGGTAGGGACAGAAGGGTTAATGCTACTAGACAGCTCTTCCTGGCTCCTTTCTGGGAACCTCTCACTGTTGCTTCTAGTGGAGAAGCATGCAACCCATCTAAAGCTGAGAAAGTGGGGAGTGCTTTCTACCTTTTCATACACTCCAGAACAGCGGTTCCCATATTTTTGGAACAACAGATCGTTATCAGCCCTTAACATTTTTCAAAAACCACCATACACCCATCTGATCAAACTTCTAATTGGAAACACTATTTAAAACACTGTTAACTATGGTTTTAGCCAAACAGCTGTTCAACTTACCATAGCCTTGTAGTCCACCAGGGGTTTGTGGACCACAGCTTGGAAACCGTTCCAGCTGTTTCAAAGGTACAATGATGTCTTCTACTCCATCCCTCCCTCCAGACCTTCTGGTTGCTGTGTGAAACATTTCTGCTTCTTTATCTGATTTCCCCTGGGATTAATTTTAGGGCCTGCTACTGCTTTTCACTTTCTGAAGTAGCAGCAAACTGGCATTCTCCATTGCCCACAGGTTTGTAAGCAACAGAAGTAAAACTGATCTGCCCATCCATAATATTGCTACTGCCAGATAAAGGAACAAACAGAAGCAGAGGATAAAAAAATATCTGCAGATTTAGGAAAATGGGACCAGTTTACATTTGATTCATGTTTGAAAATTTGTCAGCAATCAATGAGGACTACAAACTTTTAGTTACAGAAAAGCTATAATTGTGCACAGGTTGGATTTTGGCCACAGCTGGTTCAGGACAAGTGGACTTTTCAAGACCAGTAAACAGTTGGGTTTTGTGCACTTGAAAAGATGCATCCACAAAACTATGGCAGATAAAACTGGTACTAAGCAGCCTTTTGTCATCTTAAAGATCACCCAAATTAAACAAAACAGTGACCAAAGGCCCCTTGTTCTTCTATGATGAGAAACAGGGAGTTATAGCCCCCTACTAAACACTTCCATGTATTCACGGCTTTAGAGACCTTTCCCACATTACCTACTCCTCAGTCAACATTCTCCCAAACTGAGGAATCCTGATGCATTTACTGTCCCTGCAGAAGAGCTATGCCATACCTCTTAATCATCCTTTTCCATATCATATACAGTTCTCATCAATGCTCAAAATTGACCAGCATGTCAGTGCCATTTCTCTGTTTCAAATACCATTTTGCCACTTTTTGTTAGCATCAGCTCCATCCAGAATGATTTTAGGAAATTAGCAGGAGCTGCTAAAAATCCGTGCAAACACCAATAAGATGGCTTGAGAGCCCTGGCTTCTCACAGCAGCAAGATACTACCTATCACTTTAACGGTGATATTCCACCCCTGTGACAGGCAGGAACTCCAGGATCAAAACCTGTACTTCAAGCTCGTCAGGGCTGTGAAACCCTGAGAAATAGGGAGGAAGAATCTTCTCTTCAACTTGCAGCCCCTGCTGTGGTTAGAAAGAACAGCTACAAGTCCCTGCCTTCCTGAGCGGCAGGACTGGTCAGAGCCTGCTGAGCTCACAGCTTACAGGCTGATGGCTGCTGCAATCCAACAGCCACTGCCTCTCTCTGCTGACAGATATGGCTGAACAGCGGGGTCAATGATATCTGGCCTCTGTGACAGCCATGGCTCCTGGATCACCACAGGTCCTGCTGTGAGATCCTTCTGCAACTCTTCAGGGTCAACATTAGGTCTGACTCCAACTGAGTATTTTCCTTTTATCATCTGCGATCTTTATCACTGCACTTTTTCAGACCATTTAGGAACAGGTGGACCAGCAAAGGCACCAGTACAAATCTTCATGAGGTGGCATTGTTAAAACTGTCCATTAGTTGCTATACTGTTCCTTACCTTGTAACCCTTTACTAATCTACGAAGAATTTTAAGTAACTCAACACTTCATTTTCTTAACAGTCTTTGGTTATGGAGCTTCTTTAAAACTTCTGGGTCACCTTTTCCTGTGTATCTGTTGACTTCTTCAAATAACTAGCAAAGCTCCAAGACAAAACTACCTTGTACGAAAGCCAAGATAATGGTTGCCTATTACACCTATCCATGTTCCTATTAATTATATTATCACATTCACTGGCATTTTGTCTGTCATGGTAGTCAGACTTATTAGTCCATTAGTCCACGATCATCCCTAGAGTCCTTTTTAAAACTAGTGTCACATTTATTACTTTCCATTCCTCTGTTATCAAGGCTAATTTAAGTGATAGATTATACAACACAGTTCATGGCTCACCAATTAGATTTCTGAATTTCTCTAGGACTACTGAATGAACAACATGCTATCTGGCAATCTGTTAACGTTTATTCAATCAAATTGTTAAAAAATGTCTTATTGATATTTCAAATCTGAAATATTCCCTATAAAGAACAACTTTTACGTGGGGATGTCCCTAATGTACCTGTGATAAACCTTACCAATGCAAAGAGTTCACTTGTTTCTTTCTGCGATGGCTGTCTTTAAATATTCTCTTTATCCGCAGTTATCTATTGAACTCACCTCCCTACTAGCAAAATTTACACTTAAAAGTTTTTTGGCTTTTAGGATTTTAGCCTGTTGCATTTCAAAACCTTTTTGTTCTGCCTTATAATAGGTCCACATTTAACTTGCCAGAATTGTGCTCTTTTCTGCTCTGCTTGCTTGGATTTCACTTTTTGAAAAACCTCTATTTATTTCTAGTAACTTCCTTTACTGTTCAGTTTTGTTGGACAATTTTTATTCGATTGGGTTAGAATCAGAAAGCAAAGTCCCCATGTCTCTTTTAATATTTATTTAAACTGTATCTTCATTTGTATGCAATTCTTTTTTAAACAATACTGGACTTTTTAAAATTTTAATCTTTTTCTCTCCTACAAGTATGAGAAACTTGAGTATGATACGAGATATCGGTACTGAATGGCTCTTCCGTAGTCACTTCTTGTGTGCTAATCTAGACTAAATCAAGGGCTGTCCCCCCTCTTCTGGATTCTCTACCTGGTTTGCTCAAAAAGCAGTTCTTGATGATACCTAAAAATACAGCCTGTGCATGATGGCCGAATGTGGCCTGATGTTAAGTTTATCCAGTCTATATCTAGATAACCGAGAACTCTGGCTATGACCAAGCTTTCAGGTTGTATAGCCTCTCCAATCTCCCACAGTATTTCACAGTCGCTGTCTCCATCCCATCAACTAGTCCAGAGCTCTTACGAGATTTCTCCTATTCAGATACGGAACCACTTGTAATTATGTTTTGTGTATTATTCTAATAAAATTAACTTATTTGACTATATTTTCTTTGGTATATACAGTGCCATTTGTCTGCATAGTTCAATCTACCATCTCTGTATCAGCGAGGCACTAAACATTCTATCATCCCTGTCTCATCTATACACTGACATTTCAGTGTCCCTTTGAAAGAAAGAAAAGGGATACATGCAGACCCGCTTCCAGAAAGAGGGTGACATACCTGGGGAATTCCTGATGGAATTCATGCTTATCACTCTTCTGAAGAATCATTACCTTCAAGGCACAATGGAAATGGAGCACTACGAGATAGCAAGGTACCAAGATACCAAATCAAAAGTAGTGTAGGTTCCTTCTCAATAGAGATCAGATGGCATTTGAAAAAGCACTGACCAACAGTATGGCTGGAACAACTGCTTGTGGTTATTCAAGATGTCTGTACCAAGAGATGCTGTGTCAGGAAGGGAATGCACTAAGGAGCAGAAGGACACTATGAAAGTATAAAAAGTCCTTTAACCTTTTGCACACACTGCAAAACTTCGTAATATTTGCATTTACTTCCTTCTATGAGAAGGGAGAGTCTGTTCTTACTGCTGTGGAGAAGAGAAGAGAGGGATGCTTTCAGGGCACAATGCCAGTAACTATTGACTTGGGTTTGACCGTTGAGAAGGCCTCCGGGGCTAGCATTTTATCTGTTGGCTGCAACTCACTTCTTTCCCTTTTGTGAGGCCTCTAGTTGGAGCACCTTCTTTCTGCATTAAATATGATGTGACATTAGGCACAGCAGAATCCAACAGCTACACTGCAGTATCCAGTGGGTATTTATTATTATTTATTTGTATTACCATAAATCTTGGGAGCCCTCACTCTGGACCACTTCTCATTATGCTGGGCCATGAATAAACACACAACAAAAAGTAGATGTACTTGAATTCTACATAAAGAGACAACAGAGAAATTATGGCAGAGTAAAAATGCAATGACACAGTACTACTGTGGTAAGCGTTGGCATTAATATACCTGCAATATAACTGTTGTCTAGTTTGATTGTTTTAAGCTTCACAATACATAAAACTTTTTAAAAGATATTTAAAGGAAGATAGTGAACAGTTCTGTTTATGAAGAAGTCAACCAATACATGAGAGGCAGCTGAGGAGAAAATATCCAGTGTGGTCTGAAAATTTAATGACCGAATGATGGAAGCTGGCATCATATGTTGATCAAAACCAGAGTCAACCTCTTGATACTGAAGGAGAGGTATCAGGTAGTAGTAGTCTTGATGGGCCTTGAAAATAAAGACAGATAGCTTATCTTTATTGCTTTAAACTGAAGGAGGAAATTGAAAATACCAAAGGAGTAAGTTTGGAAACTGGTATTTATAGTAGAGTAGCATTTTGACTAGATAACGAGCATTGGAAGACTGCATTTGTCAAGGCAAAAGAAAAAGATTTTCTAATAAAAAGACGATCCATGGAAAACCTGGATGAAAAAAATAATCGTCTGATGGAGAAGACCGTCCTTAAAGGGTTGGAAAAAGATTCCCAAACCTCAGATTTAGCCTAGATTTCATGACTTAAAACAAATGACAGCATGATGGTGTCATTCATACAGGATGCAGGGAGGTTTTGTGAGGGCCTCAACCTAAATATGAAAAACAACTACAAACGAAAAACCAATAGTTGTAACTGAAGAACTGGAGACACTACTGAAGAAAATACTCATGCATTAGATCTGCTTAGGAGTGGAAAAGAACATGGGAGGAGGTGTATGAAACACATAAAACATTGTTTTTCCTATAAATACTGTGAAATGAGAAAATTCTTTCATGTCACATTTATTACTAACTTATTGCAGCTATCTATGCTACCACATTTTGACTTTCAAGGGTTGAAGAAAAACAATGTTCGTGATGTTATAATATGATGGGTGCCTCATTCGACATAAACAAAAACATGCTACATCCAGCTTGAAGACAGGACAGTCACGATACAAGCCAAGCGCAAACAGCAGCGGAGAAAAAGGTCTCACAACTTAAACTTACAACAACTAACATGCTGAATGTTCAGGCACATTCCTTTGCTCTTCCTTCTTAGTGCACAGAACCAGGGCTATCGCTATCACCTCGGTTTGACACTAACCTGTACTTACTCTCTGTTGCTGTAGTTTGGCATTCCAGCTCTTGAAGTATTCCCAAGCCCACACAATGTGTAGCTGTGTAGCAAATGCCCACTCCCTACATTCCACAACATCAACTCTTTCTCTTGGTATCTGCTTTCTTGCTGTTCTCCTAGTTCCAGTCATTTACGGCATCACGGCATGGGTTAAACCAAAGAAACAATCAGATCAGGTGCTCAACAATGGGGGTTAGCAGCAGTGAGTAGTGGAGAGCTGGCTAGAGCAGGAGACTATTCAGAGTTCCTTTTCTTCCAAAGAATATTTGTAACAGCACTACCGCAGGCAGAACTGAGCTGTGCCCTGACATTATCTCCCTCAAAGTACTGGGAAGTTGCCATCACAGGAAGGAGAAGCGGTCACACCTAGGTGATCTGCCTCTCAGTGGTGATGAGTGAAAAAATTGGATACATATGAAACGTCCAGGGGATTCCTTATAGCCCACTCACTAGCATGTCACTTTCCTCCCTTTCCTCCTCTGAAACTAGATCTATTCTGAGGCACTTCTTTTGATCTGGTTGGGGGCGGGGCGGGCCTGTTTGGCGTTTTTTTGCAATCACCTGATCTCCCTCTCCTTTTCTTTCTTTTACCCAACTTAATGCAAGTAAGAATAAATATGGCCAATAGGATTAAAAAGTGAAAACAGTAAACCATTAGGTCTAAATGTTTTAAGAACAAAATATGCTGATCAAGATTTTTTATGCAAAATGAAACATCCAGTGTTCTCAAATCTTGGTTTCATTTCATATTGAAAAATCTCGATTTCATTTTATATTGCAAAATCTCAAAAGAATCACTGTTTTTTAACTAGAACTTTGAAAATTCCCATCCTGTAACGAACATAATGAAATTGTGTTTTGAGCTCTGTTGAAGATGATACATATCAAAATCATTAAGTTCTGTGTTTGAACATGAAATTATGGCTTCTGCTTAGCACTAACTGTAGTTTAGCATACATAACCCATTGTCCTCTGTTCTTAGTTGTTACTGTCATCTTGAATCCCCAATTGATACAGGTAATTCACAACTAGTCACTGAGTCTTCTTCAAAGCCCATATACTCCCCTCCAACAGAAAAAAAAATTTAGAGAAAAACACTTACTGAAAGTTTTAAACTTAAATCTATCATATATTCAGTGCAATGAAAAATAACAGTAGCTATGCATTTAGTTCTCCTTTCAGGTATATTTTTGACATCCTTTTTCTGGTTTTTGGTTTTGTTTGTTTTGTTTTTAATTGGACTCTCTAGTCTGCGTTTGATCTGAGTTTATGATTTCTTCTTTGGTCTTGCTCTTTCTTCAAATTACTTTCATTTCATGCTGCTCTTTCGCCAAGCAAAAAAAAAAAAAAAATTCTGTCCTCCTCAATCTTTACTCACCAATTATTATCTGTGTCCTTGCTCCATGGGAAAGAATCTCTAATTGTCCTTACATACAACTCCTCTAGACCTTTACAGCCCCTTAATAATTATTCACAAATTCAGTAACATTTCCAGTTCTTCCATTTTTCAGATACTAAGACCCCATTGAAAACATTCTTGTATTTGAATACCAGAAAGGAAATACGGCATCATAAAAAAGGGCATGGAGTTTATAATACCCCTTTTGTTATACAGGGAAAACACCTACATGTAGTTTTTGCTCATTTGTATATAAAAATAGGAGCCATAGCAATGACTGTACCCATAGCTACAGGAAAAGAACTTCCTCCTTAATCCAAGTATAGATATTTATAGTTATTTTGGGTGAATCCACCGACATATGATATGGGTAATTATTATTGATTAAGCACGAAGTACTTAGGTACAATGAAGTATGTAGTTCCTGCCTAAGACTATAGCTAATCAGCATGCATGATCAAATTCACTCATAATGCCAGCTCAGTTTAGTTTAATTTAACCAAGTTACATTGACACAAGTATAAGTGTATATTTATTAACATTTCAATGTTCAACTCAGCAAGACAATTATGTTAGTAAATCGGTTTGCAATATCTACACAAATATTGGTGGTATAAACAGTTTTTATAGATCTATAAATTTCAGAAAGTTTATGGATGAAAATACAGAGCAAGTCAGAGACACGCTATTCTGAAAATAAAGAAAACAGACAAATTAAAACTCCCTACCTAACAGCAGTACGGAAGGACTCCAAGTTCACATGGTGAATTACCCAAGAATAATGAAATCCTTAATGGATATATTGTATGTATTTTCTAAAAAGAACTGAAGTCAATTGAAATAAGTCAAACCTCTTGATTCACCTTTTTATCATTATTAGTTTGTCAACATCAGTAAAGGCTAACTATTGAAAAATTCAATCATTTCAATGTACTTACAGCTGAATTTTCTCATCATGTGACCAACTATCCACAAAGCCTCAGTGCCATTAAGAAGTTTTGAGGAATATATTATTTGGTACTGCCAAAAAAACATAATTAAAAGAATGCATGTAAATTATATTAATTTTCTAATTAGAAATGTTTTATGATTATTTCATGTCTAAAGTACATTTGGGGGGAAAGCAGGACTTACATTATCCCAAAAGGCAGGTTCCAGCACAATCAATGATATACTGACAGAATTCACAGTAAGGAGTCACAGTAGAGTCCTGATCTTGCAACTGAACTTTCACAAAAAGAACCCTGCACTATTGCAGAATCTCCTTAATTTCAATAGGGCCCTACCCACACACAATCAATTACAGAGTCCGCCTATGTGGGAGTAACAACAGCGAGAATGGAACCTGTTCCTCCACACACCTGCAAAAATATCAGGATAAAAAAAAATAAAATTAGTAACATGCAGCAAAACCTATTGATAGCCTGTTTTATTACAGCATTTAGCACATAATAAAGGAGTTCCATACATCTTTAAGTTGCATATTATTTATAGGAATTTTTAGCTCCTTCTTTAAAGAATGTTGGCTTAAAATTGCTTATGGATTTCACATGTAGTGACAGCACATTATGGGAGCTTTTACTGATATGTATTTGAAACATAAATTTTAAATTATTATTTTCTAAAAATTAATTATTCTCGTTTCTTTGGTCTATGATGCAAGTCCCACAACACCCATTTTGGGGACACAGCATAGGCCTGTGAATTTATTGAGGTCTTCATGATCGTGAAAGTATCCTCTGCCTAACATTACACAGAAAATTTAAAAATATCAGACATCTGCCAAGTTAGTGCTGCCTATCGGAGCCTGCAAAGTGAGTGAACCAGTACCTCTGTCAAGTGCAATCTGCCCATTTCTCACTGACTGAGAAGAATGGACAGACCATACCTTTCAGGACAATCGTGGTGCCCATAATCATGCAGCTACAGATTTAGCATTTCCCAAGTTGCAATGCAATGTGGTAACTTGATGCAGCCAGACCCTAATATTGTTTTCTGTCCCTGTGCCTAGCTCCACATCTTTCTTCACAAAGGAAGTTAATTGGAATACAATGCATGTTTCCTGCACTGCTCCAAGAGCGCAGGTCGTAGGATGGGTCAGGGACACATAGCTGCAGTCTAAATTACAGTTAGTTTCTGGGGAGAGCTGAAAATACAGTTTTACAATTTTGACAGCCTAAGGAATAGCTCAGAGCTGACATCCAAACAGTCAAAGAAATGAAATACTGAAGCTGTCTCAACAGTTCCCTTCTCTGACGTGGACAGGAGAAACACACATCTAATCCAGGTATAGAAACTACCATAAAATGGAATGATTCACAAGTGGTTTGGGAGACTAGAAAGGCCCTGGCAAAACCAAGGTTTTTTTCATGACTAGCAGAAGTAATGAAGTCTAGTTACCTATCAGCATGCTTGTACGTGCCATCAACACACTTGTGCAGTAATCCCAGGCTGACATTACCCTGGCTGGTTTCCCGTTCCCTTCTAAACAGATTTCCCTAAATTCCTGCAGAAAACACCAGCTTCTGACTTCTAGGAGAACAAGAGGCAGCTCACATTGTGGCTAGGTCTGAGCTACACATGCGTTGACTGGCAGACCAACCAAGCATGCTGATCAACAAGTCAACAGGTTGAACAGAGCAGAAAATTTCTGAGTCCATGCTGCAGCTTTTTCTACCCCGGGGGCACTAATTTGAGTCCTTTCTCTACTCCCAGCTGCTAAGTTTCACTCAAATTGTAGAAACTTGACTTTGTGACCTCTATCTCTATATCAAATGCAGCTGAAATTAAGCGGTGGATTCAAAAGTTATTAGGAGACAACACAATCCTATATATCTTGTTTTGTTCAGAAACTGGGCATGAAAACACTGTAGCATAATCACTGTGAAAATAACTAATGAGTTTTATGTCACTTATTGTTTTCATTCAGGAGTTACACCACGAACTCAGCTGTAACAGAACACAGATTTTTATGTGGTGATAGCATAAATGAATCCAGAAAATGTAGAGACTGTTTCAATAAAACTGGCTTTGTTTTGCCACTGTGAACAAGGCCCTAAATATACATTGCTTCATAAAGGTGAAAATTTAACAGAAATAAAATTGTATATATATTTTTTGAACTTACCAAGACTGTAGTAGACTGCCCTTCATGGAGATCCCCGCTTCTCTTCCAATTCCATGCTGTCTCTCCTAAGGCTTAAGAGAAGTTCAGTGATACATAGCTCAATAAAAAAACAGTGACATTAAGTCTAATGAATCTATTCAGTATACCTGGACTTTACTTTTGTGGGGGTTTTGGTTGGATGGGTTTTTTTTTTAGAATAAGCACAGTGATTTTTAAAGAGTCGCCTTAAAATCCTGATCCTACTGCCTAGATCCAGATCCTGATATCCCAATTTAGGGAATAATTTTTTATAATACGCAAGTCCCAGTTCTCTTTTTTATAAATGGCATCCACAGTGCTCTGCTTACCCTTTCTACTGATCTGGGACTAAATTTTGTCTTGTGTGTTTCTCACCAAAAAGGCATAGTTGAAATCAGAGGGTTTTATTTGTTGTTGGATTCCAGGAACTGATGAAAGATGGAAAGAAACTGAAAAAGTATAATGACCTCTCCAAAACTCCAGTAAAAAGAAGAGAGACAAAGAATAGTCAGTGTGGAAAAGTTAATAGAAAACTGGACATTAGAGGAAAGGTTAGCAGGAAACAATGGGTATAAGAAGAGTCAGGGAAGTGAAAGTGATTTAATGAAAAAGGGAATGGAATAAAAGAAACAAAATTATCTTCTTAGCAGAGCAGTAAGAATGGACTTTTCAAAACTGTTTGACATTGGCCTCTCTCTTCTTCTACTGAAGTAAAAGCATTACATCAACTCCAAAAATGCTTTAGGAAAACCTTTAAGCCACTTAACTTGAACCATTTAACTTTAAGCATATGGAGTATCTAAACTCTGCTCAGCTAAACAAATAAAGAAGTACTTAAATTCGAAAATAAATTTAAATCATCTTGTAATCATTCACTATGTCTGTAGTATCGAGCACGCATTCAAATCTGAGCCCCAACTCCTCACCCTGCTAACATGCAGACTCACACTTCAGCGCTAGTCTGGATCCAGCCTATTGGTTATCAGATAGGCAAAGTCAAGTACAAGACACAAGGGACTAATGTGGATTCAAACTCTTCTCTCAAAAGCCATACTCATGCAAGTATTGTGACTTAAGTACAAGATTAATTGTTTGATGACGCAGAATGTAAATAATTAAGTGCTTAAAGTTAATTCAAGAATCAGGTCTCAAAAAGAAAACTAAAGAAAAAGTGGCTGAGAAAGAAAAAAGAAACAGATTGTTCAATCTGTATTGAAAATAAATGACCTCTTGGTTATATCTCAATGCACTCTGCCTGAAAACTACTGCTTCTTCCTGGCTTAAGTATTACATCTTATTTTTAATACACGAAATGGTAAATAACCCTGGCAAAGGTTAAATTAGTTCAGTGGTTGATAACAGTACTAAAGTAATTCTTAACACAGGGTGTAGTTCAGTTATTGGTATAAAGGGTTCATCAACGCTCCTGCCTATTTAAACACACTTGCACTTCCAAACCCAACTTGGTAAATAGCTGGGAGAGGGTTAATATGCCATATTCCAATCTCTATGGTAACAACCATAGAGATAGGAGAAAATGTGGAAATCATAAGCCACTAGTAGGGTTCTGTCCCTTTTACTCCTTACTCTACAATACAGTTACTAAAGCAAAACAGAAATTGAGCCACTTTTTGAGATACCAAAAAATGTCTGGGGCATCTCTCAGCATCCTGTGAACTTCTGGTCATTGTGACATGTCTCCTGAGCTACGGATCATTCTGTGCACCATTATTTTAAGCTGTCACCTATCTAAATGACCAGGAAGCGAATCTCAACACTCAACAACTATATTCTCACACACACAAACCCCTGCTAGGGGGGATTCCATCCTTTATCTATCGCTGCAAAAAAGGAAACTCCCTGTTTTTAAGATGTATGCTTAATAAATCCACACATGTAAGAATCATTACTTAATGAAGGTAGGGCGCTAGAGTAAGATTAAAGACCTGATAAGGCAGTGAGTTAAACACAGAATTAGTTCCTCTGTAGATTCAGTCACCTTTTCATGAAATGGTTAAATAAAATAATGTTTTGTTATTCTCAGGAGAATTATGAGCATTACTAAAATTTTATAAATGTTTTGAAGCTCAGATTTCAAAATTTCCCAGAAATTGGGAAACTAAAGAAGCAAATGAACAACTTATATCAAGCTGTCTTAAAAGAAATAAATTGAACAGCATAAAAGCAAACAAATCAGCCCTAGCTAAAGCATTTCCAGGTCCCCCTCTGCTGTATTCATTTCAGTAGCATTTCATTTAAATGCAGACATGCATATCTGCAAAGTTTAAGCTTCAATCTTTCAAACAATTTCACATATCAGAACTCCACTCCTCTAAGTAGTGCTACTGATAAAACTACTCATGTGAACAGTGTTAAGCACATGCACAGGACTAAGGCTAAAGCAAGTAATAAAGAAATTAGCTAGTGAATTCAGTGTATCACTAACAATTATTTTCGAAAAGTCAAGGACAGCTAAGAAGATAGCAAAGCTTGAGAAATTAACAGCTGAAATACTGGGGGAGGGGGAGAAATTGGGTTATGGTCCCAGCAATTACCCTACAAAAATCTAACTTCAATACCTGTTAAATAACAGAATCAATGCTAGGAAGAAAAAAGTAATAGAGCATCCCCTCAATAACTTAATAGTCACGACAACCACACTATTTTCTCACCATTTGATGAGTGCTCTTCAGTTCAAGGCTGAAGTTCATGGGTGCTGTGGAGAAGATCACTTGGCAACTGCTCTGCTCTAATTAATCCATGAATAAAGAATGGGCTGCAGTTTTCACAGATACCAAGCCAGCACTTCTCACAACCATTAAATCCACAAAAATATTAAAATATTTAGAAGTTACAGTTAGGCCATTTTAGCAAAACTTTACCACGGAACCTAAGTTTTATAACAAATCTTTCTTAAATCCTCAGGAATATGTTCATTATTATGAGTCAGGCCTATAGCTATGTTAGAATCAATATTATAAGATCTGAATGAAATATAGTAAATCCAACCTTTCGACTACACCAGTAGTCTTTATGCTACATTAAGCATTCTAGAGGCTGAAAAAAAAACTAAATTGAAACTTGGCTATTGAAAAATCAGGAGGTAGTCTACAGTTAAAAAAAAAAAAAGCTAGTTTTTTTTTTCATCTGGAAGTTTATAGGAAATCTAATAAAGCAGATGCAAGTCCTAAGCCAGCACATACTTCTTGCAGTCCTTACTGCCTACAGAAGCATCCCTAGATCCGCTCTATACTGGCAAAATCAGAACTCTGTTTTCACTGTACAATAGTAAATGCTGTCCACTTCAGTCCTTTCTAGATTACAACCTCCATCATTGCTAGCAGACTGAAATTGAAAAAGTAAAGAATTCCAAATCCTGTATTTGTCAGGGTAAATCAGAGACTGAATGGCTACAGAAGGAAGTAGAAAACTCATATATGAAAGAACTGTTCAACTACAGTTACCAGGTTATTAAACTGAAACTTCAAACGTCAACTGATATCAAATTTACAGAAGAGGTCTGAAGGGAGGCTTAGATGAATCTATAACAGGGATCTAGAAGGCCGGACAAGCATCAGGGGCAAGGCAGGGCTCAAATTAGAAAAACGAACAGAAAAAGTTTTGGAATTCCCACTGGTGTATGTCCATATGTCTTACAAACACAGAATACCAAAATAACATGTAGATGTGCAATTATTGAAAAGGTTATTATAATTACTACATGTGGGTGTATCTTGGTGCCCTCCAACTGGTCTAACCTACCTAGGAACGGGACCAGATGAAGGTAATGGGATAACATGCAAGTACCCAGGCAAGCCAAAGAATCTAACTAAAAAGTTACACGGTAATGACACAATGCCAGTTTTCATTACAACAAATTCCTCTAATCCTCATAGTTGTAAAATAAATCTCAGAAACACATAGCAAGGTAATTTGTAAAGTAATGTGTACCTGAGTCAGAAGACAGCCTCCAGCTTTCTAATCATCCCTGACTAGCTATGAGCTTCTGTGCCATTTTGGCAGATAAGTACCTTGCTTTGGTTTTGCCACCTCTCAACTGGATCTAGACAATTCAGTATATCCAAGCACGAAGTCTGCTGCATATAGGAAACTCCAAGTACAGGAAGCTGGGGGGATGTCATCTCAGCAATGTGGGTTAGTATAAGTCCCTCTCTTCCACTCTATACTGATTTTCTCTAGAATTTTAAACTACAAATTCAGGGTCTCAAGATCTTCCAGGGCCTAAATCCAGGATTCCTAAAGAAATGCCTACTAGGTCTCTAGACTGGATCCAGTTGTCAACAGTTTCCCTCTTCTGACGTAAGAGAACTTGTGCAACAAGGGGGAAAAAGCTATCATTTCTTGAGACAGAACTTTCTCGGGGCTGGTGCAAGTCTATGGAATGAATGTGCCTAGGAGCCAAGGGCCATCAGAAACCTAACTGCATTTTGCTTGAAGAACAAAGCACATTACTTTGACCTTGCCTCACTAACATAAATACATAACACGTATATGGAAGAAGAGACAGATAAAATAAACGGAAAACATTCAACTGCACACGCTCCTTCCCCTGGCAACAAGAGAACAGATAATATGACAAATGCTGGTCACGTCACTTATTACAGTATGAGGAGATTCTCTGACAATATAATGACACTCTGAGGAGAAGAATCTGTAACAGAGGACAGGCACTACTAGAAGGTGTTCATGTAGTGCTGTAATGAGAGCTGTATGAGGAAAGGAGTCCATTATAAAAACTGCAGCTTAACCTCATATTTGCTACCACAGCAGATAAGACTTCCACCATTCTGATGAGCCCAAGTTGTTTGGAACGGAAATTTGATCTAAAGAATTGACATCACTTTTGGTGAGGCTCAAAATCCCTTTCTCTCCCTTCTGTCCTCAGCTGTGTTCCTGCTGTGACTTTTTGGCTTCACTAGTCACTGAGGAAACAAACTGATGATCCTCTCCCAGATGCTACAGCCAGAGAATGCAATACCCACCTCGTATTACATGGATTTTCAGACTATAGCAATTGCCTTTCTCACTTCTTCTGATACTCAGTTAAATATTTACCCGTTCTGATCCTTAAATTATTATAATTGTGCATTATTTAACTTAAGAGATATGGATTGAAGATGTAAATCCAGACTATCACATTAGGTTTATGTTTTGTGCAGTCCTAAGTAATACTGAGAATAATGGTTGTGTAATATCACTATTAGCTTCTTAAGTCCAAAATACAAGAGCATAATAATGAAGAGAACTACTCAGTGTGCTTACACATAATAATACACATTTCAGTCTGTACAGGATCAGGGCCTACGTGCATTAAGTATGGAATCTGAGAGCAAGTATTAGATATTAGGGGATGTAAAAATTTCACTTTCATTAAAAATCTTAATGAAACCTTAGGAATGACATCTGAAAGGACAATAGTGTGATTCATGTAAGAGAATACCATGTCCTGTCAAACAGAATGACATACTATCTTCTATATCTTATTCTTATATTACGGTTGGAAAAATGGGTGAAAAATAATAACTAGAATTATTTTAGGGCAAAACTATACATAGTCTAAGTACAGAGAAGTGGTATCAGCAACATCATAATTTTATATTTTTCTTTACTGTTTTCATTGCTATTTCTACTGCAAAGTCCTCTTTTCACAGGCACATAACCCTCAGAAAAAAAAAATTAGAAGACATTTACTATCATTCTTTTCAGTTGAAAGGCACACTTTTTGAAAATTTCGCTCACAGTAATTTTAATAAAATAAGAGAAAAAATGTAAATACACTGCAAATCATTTATATTTCCTCCTTTTTAACAGAAAGGTTTTACGAACTTAAGTTTTTTCATCTGGCTAATTTTCACTGAGAACTTGGTTTAAAAAATTAGGAATCAGTTTCTTTAGCAATACCAAACTTCAAATCCGAGGAAAATATAGTAACATAAATGCATAATATCAGCTATGTGATTACTTACATGTTGCCTTGCACTACTTTTTCACTAAGGAGTTCCAGAATTACATATTTTCTGAGTAGCAGTAGTTTTCGTAGCCATGATGGTCTAAGCTTTTTGAGCCCAAAAGCTCGCTGTTTTCAACTGTGTCAGTTGCTTAAAAAAAAAAAAAAAAAAAAAAAAGAGAAATTACTTCTCCCTTCAAAACTTGTTCTGCTTATATTTTTGTCAGTGCAGCTCTAGAAGGGAGCAATGGAATCATGAAAAGCATTAGGCCCTGAGCCTGCTAACGTTCGTCTGCAAGTAGTCCAACTGAGTTTAAGAGGACTAGCTCACAGACACGAAGGGAAGATTTTGAAAGTCAGTGGGAACAGAGCTCCCAAACTCTCATTATGTACTTTTGAAAATCTTCCCCAAAGTCATGGGAACAACAGCTTGCAGGTCTGAGGCCTCTGCTTTTGACTGCTTTCCTTTCCCTTTTTAAAAAGCGTATCAGATAAAAAAAAACACTGAAGTCAAAAATCCTGAGGAGCCGCTCGCAGTGATGCGTTGGGTCTCTCTACAAAGGCAGGGGTCCGCACAGCCTGAGGAGAGCTCACAGGAAAGAATCCTCCAGCAGTCAAAAGTCAAGTGCAGACTAGTGGTTCGGGCGGCACCGTAGCCTGCCTTCCCTCCGTGGCTTTCAGCGGCTCGCAACCTCCATCTCGGTTTCCCCATCTGTGAAATGGGGATAGAAGCACTAACCCAACTATCAGGTACCTTACGATCAGTCACAACTTGGGGCGGAGGGGGGGCTGCGGCGTGAAAATGAAAGTTCACGTTTTCCCCTGAGCACTGCGAGCAGCCGAGGCGGGAGCGCTCTCAGAGTTGAACCTCGCTCCGTCAAGTTCCTCGGAGAGATTATTTTTTTTCAAATGACCAGTGTACGGCTCTCCGGGCCCAATCTGCCCGGAGATGCGCCCACACG